CTCTTTCTATTACGTTAGGTTATTTTATTATTATATCCTTTACGTTCATTATAAACGTAGTACTAATTTTGTTTATACAAATCTAAAGACTAATAAGATATCAATCGCTTTCTTGTGATTTACCCATCACACGAGTGACAAAAGAAAAAACAAAACATAGTTCGAGTTAGTTTTTCGAACTTTACATAAATAAAAGAAGAATTATTGTGTATTTGTCTTGCATTAATTAAGAACATATTCAACGGGTAGGCTTTAGGTAGCATCAAAGGAGGAAATGAAGAATTTGGACATGTATCTCACATGTGTGAGGTACCAATATTACGCAAAAGCCGAATCAAAAGTCGCTCGTGGGAGTTTTGGTCAAGTAAGGAAGGGTAATTTCGGAACTTTACATAAATGGGTTATCTTATCACTAGTCATTTCTTGTCTCCATATCACCCAACTCCCACATTTCTTCCATCATCTGCTAATATGTAGACAAAATTCTGACAGACAACCTTAATCACGGTTCCTTAATCTCTCTGCTTTAATCATCCTTGGAGTATAAATCATTCTTTTTCTTGATTTATTTTTTGTTAGTTATTAGTTATACAAGGCACTCTAGATATATACAATTACAAACCATATGTAGTTAATATTTTCCAATGCTAAAACGAGTGTTGCATGATGCCAAAAACACCGACACTGTTCTTGTAGTTTTGGAAGCTCGAATAGCGTTTAACACAGGAGAGTGTTTGGTAGATCGCGCGTTTTGATTTAGCTTGTTCTTTTATGGAAGCCACGTGGCAATTATAGTCGAGTAGACAGAGACTAGAGGGAGAGAGATAGAACGAATCTCTGACTTGTGACAGTACTTCTTCTCTCTATCTGGACGGTAGACAAAAGTTGTACAGTTCGCTTTAGATCTCCTGATAAGGTTTCATCTCAACCGTGGAACTCAAATAACACCACTATCAACGGCTACGATTATTACCGTACTCCAAATAAAAAAAAGATAGCCGACTGACTCCATAACAAAAATTAAAGAGGGGAAAGGAATAAAACAAATCGTGAAATAAATGTCAAATCTGAGATAAAACATAAAAGCAATAGTAGTGGAGTGGTAAAATGATACTCTTCCACAGATGGATCGTGTTACAACTTACAAGGCTCCACCTCCCGAAAATGATCAACCTGAGTTTTTCTTTTCTACATTTATTTTAAAAGTTTGTTTGTTCGATTTGTCTAAATCATCGAATCATTTTATTGACTTCCTATTTTTTAGGAGAGGGTATTTGTATTACTATAAGTCTATAACCAATCGATACTTTTGTGAGTCTAATCTTATGATAACAGCGTATTTATTTGTCAATTATTCGTGGGCATATCATAGTGCAAAAGATTCGGGGGTTCCAAATCCAACGTGACAAATGTTTGTAATGAGTGTTTGTGGGGAATACTTGATAGATCATAGATGATATACATTATTTCACTGAAGTTGCTTTTTGAATACAGTACATGCTACTGCTTCCTTTTGCTGAATATGCCAAGTACTTTTTATCTGATAGCATTAACTATAACAGATACATCAGATTTATTTATGGCTGGGTCAATATCATTTATTGCTCCTTTTACGTTGGTTCATATTGCAAACGTTTATAACCGAGAGAAGGATATAACATTTGCAAGAAACGTTTGTTTTCTCTATGCCGATTCATGAAACTCGAATATCTGAAATAGCAAACTCTGCATAGTACAGAGTCGTGTTAATCTCTTATAATCCATTTACTATCCAGCATAGTACCATAAACAATATTTAATGTTTCACATGCATAGTTCTTGAAACTACAAAGACTCTGTTCCTTGGTCAAAACTATTGGATATCTTATGTTCTTCGTACTCATTATAGATGAGTTAAAGCCCAATTAAGCACCTACTGTATATCTACTCCTAGAAATGGTTTATGCAATTTATTTTATGCTTGATCGTTAGCCTAATGATCGTAGTATTTTGAAATTACTAGTTTATCACGAACTACTTTATAAACGGAATATTATAAGTTGTTAATTATACAAAAGTGGCATGCTCAATACTTTTAACTTTACTATTGTTTTGATAATAATCAGAAGCATCAAGCCAAGGAAGAGGAAGAGGTAAAGGTCACAAAGTTTTCAGCTACTAGTCCTAAAGGGCGAAAGAGCTTCTTTTTGTATTCCTCAATATCCATCGAGAGCATATAAGAATATAAAGACTTAAGAAACAGTTAATCATTGAAGAGAGTCTGACTATAAGTTGATAAATTATGTCCCTAAAAGAATAAGTAAGGGTAAACTATATGTTTTAAAGTTTCGACTTCAGTCATGCCTATATGATGGTCCATGGACTCTATGAACAAAATAAAGTGGACCGATTATTAATCAAAGCCATCGAAAATGTATTGTTTTTAACGTGGACCATTTCACAAAATCTGGATATATACTCTGGTAATGGCAAGACTGGTACAGAAAATTGACGTTGATGTCGTTGAGCTTAAGAATTGTGGTGGCTTTTATTTTATTTTATTTCTGTTAAAATGTTGTGGGGCGCAAATAAAATGTATTTGTTAATGATTGAATACAAATTGGAATAGGCCCTTTAACAAAAAAAAGAATACAAATTGGAATTAGAAGATTGGGGGCAAGGTTAAAGAGTTGAGAACAAGAAACGTATTAAAGGGTCGATTATAATTTCCTATTTCTAGGGTACGATACTACGATTGACTGAGTTACACACACCGTTAACATTACAACTATATAACCGTTTTTCTTTTCTTTTTGTTTGTTTTGTTTTTTTTTTTTACATCAACTATTAACATGATGTTCTTTTGAGATCATGATTCTTACATTACGAGTCTAAAATTTGTTATTTTAAGATTAAATGAGTCTCGAGTTTACTCATTTTTTCTCATCATCTCTTATAAACTCACTTTAACGTCAATTTGATTAAGAATGAAACGACTTATGAAATTAGAAATGCAAAAAATTGTGACTTGATAACTTTTTTTTTGAGGAAAGTGAGACACCATGTCTAAAGTGTCTTCCTTAAGACACCATGACTAGTTCCGTTTCTGACACTTTATTTTTCGTTGGGGTAGATTTTCTGAGCCCAAGAGATGGAAGCCTGATGGATCTTTTAGTGTGCACACGACGAGACAAGCCAAGGCCACTGAGCCGCCACCGCAGCCGCAGGCTAAACCAGAGTTGTGAACTAGTCCTCCTCCGCAGCTTCAGCTTCTGTTTTGGTATAATATCTCTAGTCAGAATCTGGCCCACTAGACTGAAGGTTCCATGTTGCTCATTAAAGGTTCTTCTGACTATAGCTAGGCGATCAACAACATGATTACCAAGTAGAGCATCCACGCACGGGTCCTTGTACCTTATGTAGACAATTACAAAATGCTTGGAGTTCTTGAGTCCCTCTTCCACATCTTGGGTACTTGTATCTACAGCCACTTTGACAATCTTCAACTTGGACAGGTCATGATTCTTAACGCTGTTCCTAATAGTAGTCGCAACCGCAAGCTCCAAGTATAGACGAATCCAGTCGTCATTCTCTTGCACCTCTGATTTCTCCAGCTGCATGAAAAAAAACAATCATTGAGCCAAAGCGAAAGCGAAAGCAAAAAAAGTCAACGAAAAAGTTGGTCTTAATCTTACCACGCGACATCGCTTTGAGTTTTCAAAAGGATCTTCTGGGGGCCACTGAGGAATGGTATTAGAGAGGAAGAAGTTTTTCACAGGTTTGTAATCGCTGCTTCTCTTGATATCACCCAAGTTGGTTCCGCCTATATATACAAGAGAGTAGACTAAATCAGCAATTTTTTTAAAGTGATATATATATATATATATATATATATATATGTATACAAGTTGTTAATGCTTCACGTAATATTACCTAATGGTCTAGCAATCGCGCACAATAAAACCAATTTGCCAGACTGAAGTTCTTGAACTCTAGTCTGAAAAGTGAGAGGCGAATTGGTAGCTGGATCCATGGCTTCCAAAGTGATGTAGTAACCGCAAGCTGCAGAAAAGGTGGTCTGGTTGTATTTCGTTACGCTAATGAGCTCTAAGTTTTTTCCCTAATAGGATCAAGCAATCGATTAATTGAATGTACATATGGATAATGGAACAGAAGAAAGAAAGAGTCATATATATATAAATATATACCTGGAGCAAATTGTAACGATGAAGGCCCATCCTAGCATAAAGGAGGACTATGCGACAACATGTATCATTACTACAGATGTATTCCATCAGGCCACGACAAAGGTCTGGTGCTGTAAGACCACCCACATCGAACCCCTAATTTATCAGCAAGTAAATTAATCAAATCGCTATCTCATAAAAACTAGCTAACAAGTAGACTCAGAATATATTATTTACCTCGGATTTCCTCACTACCTCCTCATACTCAAGCGTCTGGCGATAAGCCTCCTTCATACCCTCTTTTGTTGGATACCAACCCCAATCCCACGCCAACGGCAGACGCTTCTCTCTTTTTGTTTCACCCGACATTTTTTTCATTGTTTGGTCGATTTAGGTTTGTCCACGCGATTCCAAGTATATATACCCTTATCCTCATTTACATGGGCTTCAATTGGGTGGGCCTTTTAAAAGATCTTATGTAATTATGGTCATCGAAGAGAGCCGGATTCAATAGCAAGACTTGTTAGACTTATGTAATTATATTGTCTCTTACTGACTTTGTTTGTTTTCTCAACTGAAAAGAGTTTTCTTCATAAAATATCTTGTTTCATCTTTGTTTGGAGAAAACCTTACTAAGAAAATATGTCTACTTTACCTTTTCCTCACACGTACAAAGACTGTCTAGCTAGGTACAAGACTTGGGTATGTACCAAAATGACGCAGTATTGTAAAGTGCCTATACGCGTGCTACTATACACACACATCCGTATTTAAAGTTTCAAAGAGAAAAACCATGAAATGAATTGTATGGCCACGTAAGCGGGTATTAGGTAGTTACATGAAGCGGCGTTTCTTTTTCTCAGGAGTTGCGTGGACTTGCGCTTTGATTCCATACGTCCTCATTTGGAAATTCTCAAATGCCTCAGAAACTGCTTCCACCTGTTGATATTTGCAAACAAAAGATATTTTTAGAAACGTTACTTTATCATGTATTGAAGGAAAAACGAAAGTAATGTGATGATAAAATATTGATCACACAATTCACAAACCAGTTCTGGCTTTTTGGCATAGACTCTGACTATCATGTCTTGAAATGTTGTTGGGAACAAGTGACTAACTCTTTCCTCAGGTATCACAAACTTCTCCTCGCTCTCATAATCCTGTGAAAAACCGTAAATCAAACAGGGCTATTTCCAAATTTCCTCTTTCCACATTTAAGAAGTGTTATGTTATGTAAACAAGAAGAGAGACTATATATTAATATTTTGTTACCTTGAAGAAGTGGATGCTGATGGGTGACAAACCCCACACAAAGATAAGTTGGTTAGAATTTAACTACCGAAACAGAGATAAACAAAGAAGTAAAAAAAATGTTTGCTTACTTACCATTCAAGAGGGTTTTCTCTTCCACGAGCTAAATCAATCTTGACGTTTGCAACAGCGATGTCTTCTTCTCTCAACGTTAAGCTAGAATGTTTCTGTAAAATAAAAAATTCATGAGTATGGCAATGGACTGCAATATAGTTTTCCTTTATTACTAGTTAAGTGTCAAAGCTTACAAACCTGAGAACAGATGATATCTTGAGCAGTGACGGATTTGAAATGATCCATTTTGTCTTTTGGAACCGCATACTCGTTACAGAACTGCAAGTAAATATTCGTACATCAAACTAATTTAACCATAAAATAAAGGGAAAAAATGGGTGAAATTGAGTTCTTACTTGGTACAATTGCCTTCTTAGTATAAGCTCTCTAGCTTCTGCAAGCTCTGGACGTGAAGAGTTTTCAATAGTTTTGAGGATTGTCTCGTCCAACTGAAAATTGTGGAAGCACAAAATGTTTATAAAGAAGCAAAAGGAATTTGCTGCATACAGGAAAGGAAGAAAATAGAACCTTGCAGTATTCAGATGGGTATCAATGTAAGAAGAAATCCCCAAATGATCATTAGCTTTCACCATTGCATCTGCTATCATAAGCTCAATTGCCTGTAAATGATTCGAAAGAAACAAGTGAGAAACAGAGAAAGAACAGAGAAGGAACAGAGAACTATGAAGAAAGATGATTATGTTTTAGTACGGATGATTCTTATTAATATAATACCTTTACTTTCGGATGTGTGTAGACTGTTCGATGAAGATCAGCTCGAGTGCAAAGACGTTACGATCTACAGAAGTCAACCAGTTTTTATAAGGTAACCAAATCAAAGGCAAGCAAAGATATATTGAGGTGGACAAAAACTCACGAAGATGCAAACCTGGAGCTGGAGCTTCTGAATCACACTCTGTCTCTCGAGGTAATTTCTTACCATCGTGGTATTTCAAGTCAACTTTATACTTCATGTTTTTTTTTGCCCTAATTGGCAATTCCTTGAATTGCAGGCCTTTTTCACCAGCTCCCATGCCTATCGATAGGAACTTAGATAGGAGGTATTGTGGTTTGTCGTTGGTCACACTATCCTCCTCCGTGGCAAAAACCATGAGCATCACTTCCAGAGAAACAAAGAGGTAACCGTCAAAAAAATATTTGGTACCATTACTGCTCTTGCAACGCACCACCATCTCGCCTTTTATTTTTTCACAGCTAAGCATTAGTACACCGTGATTATCTAGGAATTTTGCACCTTTTTTGTTGGGGCCACGGTAAATCTCCTTTTCTGTCCATCCCTCAAAAATCATCAGCTTTGCTTCAACTGGATGAGTCCTAAGCCGTTTTAGGGCTAGCTCCAACGTAGGATACCTGAAAACATCTGTGATGCGATGGAACTTCTCGTTGGGATCTTCTGGTCGCTTTCGGTTGCAGTTAAATTTGGGAAACTTCTCTTCTGGTATTCCATGTAGCTGCACATACCTCAATCCCTCCTCAGAGCCTAAACCATAACAGCTGCACACACCATCTCTCTCTAAATCTGTGTATGGAGGATGTTTATCCAGATTTCTTTGAAGTATGTCAGGGCGAACATTGCTGCATAGATACCAGGCGCACAAAGGTTTGTAATCATCTTCAAAACCATGCAATATAAGGCTCGCGCTAATCAGATCGCCAAGGCTATAGGCCCAACATAATGAATGATCCTCTTGGTCTCTGATGTATCCTGCAACTTGTGTCATCCTCTTCACTGTTTTCGGCTTGGATAGATAGGAGTCCTCCAAAGGTTTGGGCTTCCAAAACAAAGCCATCTTGCCTCCTGATCAGATAACCTTAGCTGTGCTTTTGGATATGCTTTCGTTTCCCTGATATAACCAAATCTTATCTTGCCTAGCAGTTTCTTTGCGAGTTTGTTGGAAACCGTCTTCGGTTTCGTATTAAGGATAGGATGCTCGCTCAGTACTTTACTCCTTCTCTTACAACGGATCATACGCTTCAGTTCTTCTTGCAGTGCATCTGCTTGCTCTTCATCGGATGCATCTTCTCTCTGTCTTTTTCCGGGAGTGCATGATTCAACTGATGTGGAATGAGCTTTTTTGGCTTTTGGAACCACATACTCGTTACAGAACTGCAAGTAAGAATTCACAAAGCATAAGTAGTTGTTCATGGGCGGCTAGAATTCACAATTTGGTTGCTATATATAACTTACATTCAGCTGTGAAAATTCAGTCCTAGCTAGTATCTTATCCTGTCCAGAAAACATTAGATTAGATCATCAATAAAGAGGGAAAGGAAGCAACAAATATTGTCACGGTCTTAGAAAAAGAATGACCTTCACTCTCTTCAGCATTTGAGCATGAACATTGACATGGTCAATCATGTTTGCACCCATTAACTCTTGAGACCTGCATACAAGAACTGGCATATAAATTGCTGCACAGAAGAATGATATCCAGAGGGTGAAAGTACTGAAACTAAGGCAGTAAAGAAAGTGCTCTAAATATGACATTTTAAAGAAAGTGAGAGACATACCACGCACACCCAATGGCTCTTGGGAGGAAATCACGCTCAAAAGTCGGACTGAAAGGCACATGGAGAAGTCCTGGAGCATGTCTCACAGTCTGAAGATCGTATCTATCAATATCAAGCTCCATTCCCTATAAAAGGTATACCGTATTACATTAAAACTTTACCATACTTGGCAAAATATTACTTGCCAACCAAAACTTGTACCTGGAAAGTTTCTAGCCTCTGAACAGTTTGCATAGCTCCTGGATATACCATTTGTGTCACTCCTGAAACAGCAATGTTAATGAAATTTCTCTCAGATAAGGACACCAAAGTTAAAAGAAAGAAATGGAAAATTTCTTTCCCCTGATTGCAAACTTTCTACTTTCGACAGAGAAATGCTTCTTTACGGACTAAATAAAAACACAGGAAAACGCAAGCCATCTCACCAAGCTGCTTGAGTTCACGAAGCCTGCCACAATGGAATAGATAAAACGAATCAGCACCTTTCCAATGAATCTCGAGGATATATGCATACAATGGAAATGAAACGAGCAGAATCCAAAGGATAAACTACCTCTGAAACTTCTCCGTGTCAACGTATTTCAAACAAATCTGCAAATTAAACTGGAGTATCAGTAGAGATGACAAATTGAGTCGTCACGAAATTTGAAAATCGCAAAGTTAAAACCTAAGATGAACAAACCAGATACAAACTCTAGCAAAAATCCACCAGATGCATCTACTAAACGATTTTCGTCGAGAGAAAAGGAAATGTAACGACGAAGACATTTATCCAGATTCCAAGTCGAACGAAAGGCTTTTACGGTAAAAGCATGTACAGAGCGTCATCGTCATCACTCGTCCCAGATACAAATTCCGGAAATAGACCGAGGTGGAGGAATTAGAGAAAATTACAGGATCGAGTTTGCTGTATCGGCGAACGCTGTCGTAGAGATGCTTTCTGAGTCGGAGCTCGTTCGTCGGAGCACCGGCCGCGGATTTATCCGGCAAACTCAGGTCTTCGTCGTACGCTCCCATTTTAGCTGAATTCGCGATCGCTCCGTCGAGAGCAACCGGAGATTCTGAGAGAATTGAAAAGCGATTTGTATGTTGAAGTTGGGACTGGAGAGAGAATGACTTAGTGAGGAAGGAGTGTTTTGATTTCCGTTTCTTCGAGCCAAGATTTATGACAGGTAAAAGCTGCAAATAGATCCTATACTCTTCTTTTATCCCAAAAAAACCAATTTAAGTGGTAAGGCTACAAAATATACACACTGAAGTTGGGGTTTATTGTGTATATTTAAAAAAAACGGGCTTTTTTCGCATTTGTTGAAAAGTTTAGGCATGTTAGCTTTTTATCACGTTAATAATTTTTTAATTGTTTGGTAATTCCGTTGTTACAAATAATTCCCATGTCATTAGAGAGGTCTCAATGGTAGTTAACCACCGAATTAATTTGCCCCAATTTTCAAATACAAAATATTATCTGAATTTAATTAAATCTTTGGCGTAGCCAGCAAGCACAACTGTGCTTCCGTACAACTCAAGTCATGGGCTCTCTCTTTTGATGGGTTTATTTCTAGTTGGGCCTTTTCTTTGTTGAAGCCACATACAAAATTATCGATCTTGACGGAAAAGACAAACCAAAAGTCGCTCGTGGGAGTTTTGGTCAAAGAAGGAAGGGTAATTTGGGAATTTTGATAGATGGTTTATCTTATCACTAGTCATTTCTTCTCCATATTACCCAATTCCAACATTTCTTGATATCTTCTATCATCGGCTAATATGTAGACTACAGACAACCTTAATCATGGTTCCTTAATCTCTCTGCTTTAACTCACTCTTTCTTAATCATCCTTGGTTTAAAAACTAGATTATTATTCGTTCTTGATTTATTTTTTGGTCATGCAAGACACTCTATATATATCCAAACATAAACTCTGACGTAATTTTCAAAAGCTAAAATGAGCGTTGCATTGGATGATGCCAAAAACACTGACACTGTTCTTCAAGGGGGTTTGGAAGCTCGAAATAGCATTTAATTTAACACACAGAGAGTGTTTGGTAGATTCTTTCGTTTTGATTTATCTTATTCTTAGTAGACATAGACTAGAGAGAGAACGAATCTCTGACTTGAGACAGTGCTTCTTCTCCCTATCTGGAGTTCTGGACGGTAGACAAAAGTTGTACAATTAGCTTTAGATCTCTTGGTAAGGTTTAATCACAGCCGTTGAAATCAAATAACACCACAATCAACCGCTACGATTATTACGGTACACCACTACACCCAATGAAAAAGATAGCTACTGACTCTATAGGAAAATAAAAGAGGGAAACGGAATAAAACAAATCATGAAATATATGGCAAATCTGAGATAAAAGCAACAGTATTGCCGTATTGGTAACTTGTTAATTATACAAAGTGGTATGCTTAATACTTTAGTAACTTTACTATTGTTGTGATAATTATCAGAAGTATCAAGCTAAGTAAAAGATAATGGTCAAAAACATTTCAACTACAAGTCCTAAAGGGTAAAAAAAACTTTTTTTTTGTTTTCTTCAATATTCATGGAGAGAATTTAAGAATATGAAGACTCAAGAACGATTATCACGAGGATAGACTAAAAGTTGATAAATTATGTCGCCCAAAAGAATGAGTAACTATGTTTTAAAGTTTCGACTTCAGTTATGTTTCTCATGGTTCATGGAAAGTGGCCCAAATATTAATCAAACTAGGGTTTGACCCGTGCCCAGCACGGGGTGATAGTTTCTGAATTTGTATTTTTATTAAAAATTGTTTATTTAAATATTTCGACATTTTATGCGAGAGATTTTTAATCTTTGTTATTCGTTTATAGTATGAAAATTAGGCATTTTAATCCATTTAAAAAAAGAAATAAATTAAAGCATTGATCGTAACCACAGATTAAATATGATAGATTTAACCGAGATACATAAAACTCAAATAACTATAATATAATAAGATAGTTTAAAGAAAAAAAATTGAAAATAAAACATTATTCTTTAGAAAAATTATACATCATGTATTTCATAAGATAAAAAGTTTTAGCTGTGTGGACACGGATTAGAACTAATTTTTTTCTTTCTTTCAAAACTAAAACATGCTTTATTATAATTTCAAAACAATCCAACCAATCAGAAAATAATATGCAGAATCCAAATTGTCAAAACAGCAAAAATATAATTAATTTTGTATAGAAAGTTGAAACAGATAGAGTAATATTCAAAAGTTTAATCAAAATAAAATATTTATAAAAAGAACTTTTTTTATTCGATTTATTATAGATTTTAATTAAAAAACCATATTAAATGAAAAAAAAATTACATTTGGATACCTACTAAATGAGGTTATATACGAAACAATTTATATTATTTTGTTTTTAAAAATTCAAATCATAACATGTACAGAAAAAGTTTTAGATTTTTTTTGATAGATTTTTTATATTGTGATTCAAATTATTTTATTAAATAAATTTAAACAAAGATGATAGAAGATGTATACTGATTTTAAAAGAAATTATTATGATGGAATTAAATTGAATCTCATATCTTCCTTATTTACTAATTTTCGTAGTTGCCAATTAAGGAAAGAGAATGATAAATTTAATTTCATTATTTGGTTGTAAGCATAATATGCAATGGCATATATTGTAATTTGTCTAGTAAAGCTTGTCTTAATTAGAAATTGCTCTAAGAGTGAACCTAGTGATGACACCTAAGCAATGACATTCTTGTTAATAACACATTAGACAAAGGTTATTTAGTTAGTGTTTTCTCTTTTAATATATTAGGAATTTATCGAATATGTATTGTTTTTAACGGGTACCATTCCACAAAACGGCATATATACACTGGCAAGACTGGTACAGAAAATTGACGTTGAGCCTAAGAATGTTGTTGAATTTTAATTTATTTTATTTTATTATAATGTTGTGGGGCGGAAAAAAAATGTATTTGTTAATGAATAATTTTGATATACAATTTCGATAAGTACGAATCAAATGAGGATTTAGACAGAAAGATTACAAACTGGAATTAGAAGACTTACGCTAAGATCAATTAAAGAGTTGAAATAAGAAAAGTATTGAAGGGTCAATTGTAGTTTCCTATCTTCTAGGGTCTGGTTGACTAAGTTATACGCGCATTAATATTATAACTAAATAATTCTTAATCAAAATATGATGTTCTTGAGTTTGATCGTATAGAGATTTGTAGTGGAGTAGCTGAAGATTTCTTTTTTAGATCATGAATTTTAGTTCTTACAATGAGTTTTATATCTTTAGCGTCAGTTTGATTGTAAACGACTTATAGAAAAGAAAGACATATGTTATTGAGTTTGATCGTATATGATGTGTTATTGGGAGATTTGTAGTGGAATAGCTGACGATTTCTTTTTAAGATCATGATTCTTAGTTCTTTTAATGAGCTTTATATCTTTAGCTGATCGGAAACGAGTTATAAAAAATGAATGCAAAAAATGTGACCTAATTTGTTGTAACGTAAGTAAAACAAAAAAACAAAAAATCACTACTATTTGTCAATAACAGCTCATTGTTCTTTGTACCTTCTTTCTATTATCACTTGCGAAATCTTAACACAAAGGTTGATAGTAATTTGAATAGTGAATTGAATTTTTCTATAAAGATGTACAAAATATACACATGACTCTTCGCATTGCATTAGGAGTTGATTGACTGAGTTATACACATGTTAATACTACAGCTAAATAACCCTTAATAAAAATATGATATTCTTGAGTTTGATCGTATAATGTGTTTCATAAAAATATGATATTCTTGAGTTTGATCGTATGATGTATTACTGAGAGATTTGTAGTAGAGTAGCTGAAAAAATCTTTTTGAGTTCATGATTCTTAGTTCTTACAATGAGCTTTATATCTCTAGTGTCAATTCGATTGAAACGATTTACAGAAAAGAAATGCAAATGTTCTTGAGTTTGATCGTATATGATGTGTTATTGGGAGATTTGTAGTGGAGTAGCAAAAGATTTCTTTTTGAAATCATGATTCTTAATTCTTTCAATGAGCTGCTTTATATCTTTCGCTGATCGGATACGATTTATAAAAAAATGAATGCAAAAAATGTGACTTAATTTATTCTAATATAAGTAAAACAAAAAATAACAAAAAAATAACTATAAAAGTATCAAGGTCCACAATGTGATCTGAAAGGTGTGAACAGAACCAAACTGGCAGCAACAGCTCGTTGTTCTCTCTGTACTTTCTTTTTTCGTATCGGTTGCTAAATCTTACTTATTTTTATTTTTTTGTCAAAACACACGTATGAATTTTTTTTTTTGCCTAAACTGTCTTTTTCCAAATCTTTTTATTTTATAAAGCAGAAGTCTTTAAAACTGTTGACCACTCTTTTTAATGTAATGCATTTCTATCATCATTTTTTTGTAGATATTAGTCATTTTCTACCATGTCCCCTTTCTTTATCTGCTTTTCAACACAGCAATAGATTTTCTTAGATCTACATTTTCTTAGATTTTACTGTGCGCAGTTAATGCTGATATTCAATGCGGCACCCAATTTATCGATTATTAGATCAAATTAATGTGATATTTACAAAATAATATGCTATATTTTCATTAACACAAACAAATAAATAAAGTCTTTACAAAAGAAGTTAAATATTTGTAAGAAATACTAATTATCTAAAATTTGTAAACAGAATAAAAGACAATCTAGGAGCATTATTACGCTCTCCCTCTCTCTTTCCATAGGTAAATGCTTAAAGGGAAAACAAGTTTGTTTCGAGATGTTAGAAAAGAAAATTAGATGTTATGCAAATTTATTTCGAGTGTCTGTGAAATTTGTATGTTGAAATTATTTTAAAACATCTAACGTTCTAAACTGTAGATGGTATTTGTTAAACGGATATAATGTAAATTCTCAGAAAAAAACATTGGAAACTAAAGTATTAGAACTAGAAGCACTCAATATATTTGCCCGTTGACCTTGAGCAGCTACTGATCATCCTCGAATCCGGGCAGTAATATTAGACACCAAACGTATTACTATTAGGTAAATTAACCAACACCGAACCTAATTAAATACACTAAATGTCTAATTAGTAATTACTTTACAAAAAATCCATTCATAGAATTTTTGGGTTAGTATGATGATATGATCAATCAATCATATTATATATATTTTTTGTGATATTAATAAATGATAAATTTTGTTTTTTTTGGACATTTTCCTCTGTCAATTGAGATTTTTATTTGATGTTAAAATTATGATTTTTTTATTTTAGATTTTTCTTTAGTCCGACAAGAGTGTGTGAGCTTCACTCCTACTCCCATGGCTGATCTCATCTGTTTTCTACTTGTTTCTCATCTCCATTAACAAAATCAATCAAAACCCATCTCAATTCTCCATTACACTTCCATCAAATCAAGATTCTTTTCTTCCTTCCTTCTTCTTTCATTTCTAATTGTAGTTAGGTTTCTCAATTTCTCAATGAATCTCTCTATTTCCAGTTTCTGTTTTCTTTCGTTCTTCATCTTCTTGAGCTCCTTACCGAATTTCTCCTCCTCGAAGCCAATGAATTGCTCCGACACAACCCGTCTCTGCACTTCCTTCCTCGCATTCAAACCGAACCAAAACCAAACCTTCTCCGTAATCCAAAGCATGTTCGACGCATTACCGGCGGACATAACCGCCGACGTCTCCGGTTACACCTACGTGAGAAAGAACTGCTCTTGTCTCACCACGACTCATCAATACACAACGAACACGACATTCACAGTCAGACAAAACCGTAGCTACATTTCCGAAGCTGTCGTCTCTGCTTACTCTGGTCTCGCGTTTCCACCGAACACCACTAGAGGTGCCCCTGCCGGCGCGGTTGTCTCTGTGCAGCTTCTCTGCGGATGCTCGAGTGGTCTCTGGAACTACCTTATGAGCTACGTGACTGTTTCCGGAGATAGTGTTCAATCTCTCTCGAGCAGATTCGGTGTTAGTATGGATCGAATTGAAGAAGTCAATGGAATCTCGAATCCTGATAATATCACAATAGGAGATGTCTTTTACATCCCTCTTGATTCCGGTAAAGAATCTTAATTTTTGTGAAATTTAGGGTTTAAAGATTACATTTTGATGGTTTTGATTTTAAATTTTGTGAAATTAGGGTTTATTAAAGATAACAATTTGATGTTTTGATTCAAATTTGTTTGTTTAAAGTACCTGGAGAGCCTTATGAGACAAGTGAGATAAATCCTCCTGCTCCTTCTCCTGCGCCTGCATCAACCAATAGCAATATCTCAGGTTTTTGAGCTGCGGCGCAACGGTCAATGCAGTAGTTCTCAGCAGGAGAGGTGGGTTGATGCAAGAGCTCAACAGGAGAAGGATCAAAGTTGTTGAAGACAAAGGAGAAGTTAGCTTCAAGACTGCCATGAAAGCAGATTTGGTCATCGCAGGATCAGCTGTGTGTACCTCATGGATAGATCAATACATGAATCATCATCCAGCTGGTGGAAGTCAGATAGCTTGGTGGATAATGGAGAATCGAAGAGAATACTTTGATAGAGCGAAACCAGTGCTTGACCGAGTGAAAATGCTTATCTTTCTATCTGAATCACAGAGCAAACAGTGGTTAACATGGTGCGAGGAGGAGAGTATAAAGCTAAGATCACAACCAGTGATTGTTCCACTCTCTGTTAACGACGAGTTAGCTTTCGTAGCTGGGATTCCTTCCTCGCTCAACACACCAACACTCACTCCAGAGAAAATGAAGGAGAAGAGACAAACGCTACGCGAATCAGTCAGAGCAGAGTTAGGTTTAACAGACGCAGATATGCTTGTCATGTCTCTCAGCAGCATAAACCCACCAAAGGGACAACTTCATCTCCTTGAATCTGTTGCCTTGGCACTCGCTGAGAGAGAACAAGAAGGTCAGAGGAGTCTCAAAGGCGTCACTAAGAAAGAAAAAGTCAGTCTCTTAAGCAAACATCGTCTAAGAGGCTCTGCTCGGCAGATGCAAAGTGTTTCTCACACACTTGACAATGGCGTAATTAAGGAGAAGCAAGAGCTCAAAGTTCTTTTGGGATCAGTTGGTTCAAAGAGCAACAAAGTTGGATACGTCAAAGAGATGCTAAGCTTCTTATCAAGCAATAGAAACTTATCCAAGTCGGTTATTTGGACTCCAGCAACAACTCGTGTTGCTTCGTTATACTCTGCAGCTGATGTCTACGTTACAAACTCTCAGGTAATAATTAATCCTCCTCTGACCTCAAAAACATTATTCAATACATTGACAAAGCTAATAGGCTCTAATTGAACATTTCTCTACAGGGCGTTGGAGAAACATTTGGGAGAGTAACAATAGAAGCAATGGCGTATGGACTTGCAGTGGTGGGAACAGATGCAGGAGGAACGAAAGAGATGGTGCGACACAACGTGACCGGTCTGCTTCACTCAATGGGAAGATCAGGGAACAAAGAGCTGGCTCGTAATCTCTTGTTTCTACTTAGAAATCCAGACAAAAGGCTACAGTTTGGTGTCCAAGGACGTAAAAAAGTTGAGGAAATGTACATGAAGCAACATATGTACAAGCGATTCGTTGACGTTCTTGTCAAATGTATGAGACCATAAACACTTTTGATCGTAACAATTTATGTCATGCTATATTCTTTGGAGATATTGGGTTTTTTTTTTTTGGGTTTACTACATAATATAAATCTATAAACTTAGATTTTTATTCTTAATCTGAATCTCAAAGTTCCTATTTTTAGTATGATGAAACTTAGATTTTTATGTTTTTCCGGTTAATGGAGAAGCTGATCAAGTGAATCACAGTGGAAAAGGAGGTCGTGTGCCTTATATATGGATTGTTGGTGGTCTTGGAGTTGTGCTTGCGCTTCTTGTCATGTGTATACTTGTATGTATCTGTATGAGATCATCTAGTTGTAGTAGCTCCAGTGATGAAGATGGTGGTGGTGGACACAACTTCCAAATTCTTAGGAAGTCCGGTTTCTTCTGCGGTTCTGGTCGGTATAACTGCTGCAGATCAGGGGATATCAGACAAACCAACGGTGAAACTCAGAGCCATCACCAAGTTGTTTCTATTCCTAAAGGTCTGTTTTTTTGGTCTCATCATTTATCTGTGGCTTTCTTCTTGAAAGAGTCTTCTTTTTGGTTGTTTTAATGTTTTTTTTGTTTGTTTCATGGATATATATATAGCTCTTGGCGATGGAATGTTTGAGATAGAGAAGCCTGTGGTGTTTACTTATGACGAAATCCGTGCGGCTACGGATGAGTTCTCTGATTCTAATCTTCTTGGTCATGGAAATTACGGTTCAGTGTACTTTGGTCTACTCAGAGAACAGGTTTGTGCCTTTAGTCACATCTTTAGTCGTCACTGATGGCTTTAGACCTTTAGTCGTTGTAGTATAATGATGAAACTTGTTGCAGGAAGTTGCTGTGAAAAGGATGACTGCTACAAAGACTAAAGAGTTTGCAGCAGAGATGAAAGTTCTTTGCAAAGTTCATCATTCAAATCTGGTAATCCTCCGTTGTGTGTAATGTAATCTTCTTTTATGCGAATGAATCGTTCGGAGATTATATATGACTTCTTGGCTTTGCTCTTTTTTATTCTTGTCAAAGGTAGAGTTGATTGGTTATGCTGCAACCGTTGACGAGCTTTTCGTAGTGTATGAGTATGTCCAAAAGGGAATGCTGAAAAACCATTTGCATGAGCCTCAGAGCAAAGGTAAAAGAGAGCTAATACCTACAAGACATAACGAGATGATGATGAATGATGATAATGATATGTTTGTTGATGTTTCTTAAAGGCAATACACCACTGTCTTGGATAATGAGGAATCAGATTGCACTTGACGCAGCGAGAGGCTTGGAATATATACATGAACATACTAAAACTCATTATGTTCACAGAGACATCAAGACTAGCAATATCTTGCTCGATGAGGCATTCAGGGCTAAGGTCTGAGTCTCAACTTATGATGGAAAAAACACATTAGTACATGTTATGATTCGTATACAGGACAAAATTGAGTTGATATTTATCTTTGCACATTGTCTAGATATCGGATTTTGGACTTGCGAAACTCGTTGAGAAAACTGGAGATGGAGAAATCTCTGTTACTAAAGTTGTTGGTACATATGGTTATCTTGCACCAGAGTAAGTATTTCAGAAACCTGAAGCTACTTATGGACACTTTAGTGAACTCCTAACTGTGACATTTCTGTCTTGTCCTCTGCAGATATCTTAGTGACGGTCTTGCTACTCCGAAAAGCGATGTTTATCGTTTGGTGTTGTTCTGTTTGAGATCATCTCTGGAAGAGAAGCTGTTATAAGAACGGAGGCAATGGGAACAAAGAATCCAGAGAGACGTCCATTGGCATCTATTGTAAGTTCTTGGAGTTTATAAACATCGATGAAAAATCCATTTGCAAACCCTTTTTTTTACTGTTGCAGGTGTTGAAAGCTCTTAAGAACTCACCAGACTCTATGAACATGTCGAGTTTGAAGGAGTTAATTGATCCAAACATGATGGATTTATACCCACACGACTGTTTGTAAGGTAAACTGAAAACCGAATACATAGTAGTTGGAGAAATGTAGTAAAGATATGAAGATTTTCATTTTGAATGATTTTTGTGGACAGATTGCCATGTTGGCGAAGCAATGCGTGGATAATGATCCGATTCTAAGACCAAACATGACGCAAGTGGTTATATCTCTCTCGCAGATACTCTTGTCTTCCATTGAATGGGAAGCAACTCTTGCTGGAAACAGCCAAGTCTTTAGTGGTCTTGTCCAAGGAAGATAAAACAAACGAATCCTTAAAATTTAGGCCCTTTCTCTGTTATTCGCCATTGCTAGAAGCTTAGTTTGTGTAGAGAAATGATCATTATTTATATTTTGCTCTTTGCTTGTCTCTGTATGATTATTCTTTTGGAGAATCAATGAAGAGATGTATGAGTTTATATATGCTTTGATATGTTCAGTCTTGCAAAGAAACATCACTTTGTTAACTTACATAATATTGATGATGATGATGATACATGAGACAAAACCATACACACAGTTTTTGAAAGTATTTACTTGATGTTGGTCCATGTGTTACTATCAGCCAATGATGATTTTTCATGAATGTTTTACAAAGTATTTGTGTATTGAGTTTATACAATGTTAATGAATCAATATTTTTCCATATTCACATCTGAATCTTAACAAAGTAAACCTTTTTTCCTTTGTTCACTATATCCTAAAACATCTCAATTCTTCATTTCTCTTCTTTAACTTACTACATTGAACTTTTCCTTAAATTATGAGGATGTTATTCTAGATTCCTTTTAAGTATGACAAGACGAACATTGACTTTGATAGTGACGGTTTTCATAAGTATGTACAAAATATACACATGACTCTTCGCATTGCGTCACAAGTTGCTCTAGCCAAGTCTATATATGACATCGCCAAAATCAAAACTTAAATCGCTATGATTTATCGATTCTAGCAGTGTTACCAATCAATAATTTTGTGAGCCTAAACTCATGATAAAAGTGTATTTATGTGTCAATTAATTGTGGGAAAATCAATTAAGAGTAAAACAAAAAAGTAACAAAAAAAATCACTATCAGGTCCACAATGTGATCTAAAAGGTGTGGTGGGACAGAACCAAACTGTTTTTTGTCAGTAACAGCTCATTGTTCTCTGTACCTTCTTCTAAATCACTTGCTAAATCTTAATTAACAAAAATATTTTTCCCTAAATTGTCTTTTTCAAAATCTTTATTTTGGGTATTATCTTACTTCGAATCGATAAAGCACAAGTCTTCAAAACTGTTGACCACTTTTTTTTATAATCCATTTCTATCGTCATTTTGTTTGTTGTAGATATTAGTCATTTTCTACCATGTCACATTTCTCCCATGTTATCTGCTTTTGAACATAGCAATAGATTTTCTTAGATCTACATTTTCTTAGATTTTACTGTGCGCATTTAGTGCTGCTATTCAATGCGATATCTAATTTATCGGTTATTAGATCAAATTAATGTGATATTTACAAACTAGTATGCTATCGTTCCATTAACACAAACAAATAGGAGTAGTAAATAAAAGTCTTTAAAAAATAAATTAAAATTTGTAAAGAGAATAAAAGACAATTCTAGGAGTCTCCCTCTCTCTCTCCGTTGGTAGATGTTTATAGGGAAAACAAGTTTGTTTCAAGATGTTAGAGAAAAAAAATTAGATGTTGCAAATTTATTTCGTGTATCTGTGAATTTTGTATGTTGAAATTATTTAAATTTGTTAAACGGATATACAATATAAATTCTCAGAAAAGAACATTGGAAACTAAAGTATTAGAAGCACACAATATATCTGCTCGTTGACCTTGAACAGCTACTAATCATCCTCGAATCCGGACAGTTATATAGACACCAAACGGATTAGGTAATTAACCAACACCGAACCTAATTAAAAATACACTAAATGTCTAATTACCAATTACTTTTCAAAAAAATCCATTCATAGAATATTTTTTGATCAATCAATCATATTATATTATTTTGTGATAGTAATAAATAATAATTTTTGTTTTCTTTGGACATTTTACTCTATCAACTGAGATTTTTATTTGATGTTAAAACTATGATTTTTTATTTTAGAGTGTGTGAGCTTCACTCCTACTCCCATGGGTGATCTCATCTGCTTTCTACTTGTTTCTCATCTCCATTAACAAAACCAATCAAAACCCATCTCAATTCTCCACTACATTTCCATCAAATCAAGATTCTTTTCTTCCTTCCTTCTTCTTTATCCCCTAAAAAACCCTTCTTTCATTTCTAATTGTAGTTAGGTTTCTCGATTTCTCAATGAATCTCTCTACTTCCAGTTTCTGGATTCTTTCGTTCTTCATCTTCTTAAGCTCTTTACCTAATTTCTCCTCCTCGAAGCCAATGAATTGCTCCGACACAACCCGTCTCTGCACTTCCTTCCTCGCATTCAAACCGAACCAAAACCAAACCTTCTCCGTAATCCAAAGCATGTTCGACGCATTTCCGGCGGACATAACCGCCGACGTCTCCGGTTACACCTACGTGAGAAAAAACTGTTCTTGTCTCACCACGACTCATCAGTACACAACGAACACGACATTCACAGTCAGACAAAACCGTAGCTTCATTTCCGAAGCTGTCGTCTCTGCTTACTCTGGTCTCGCGTTTCCCCCGAACAGCACTAGAGGTGTCAGTGCCGGCGCGGTCGTATCGGTGCAGCTTCTCTGCGGATGCTCGAGTGGTCTCTGGAACTACCTTATGAGCTACGTGACTGTCTCTGGAGACAGTGTTCAATCGCTCTCGAGCAGATTCGGTGTTAGTATGGATCGAATTGAAGAAGTTAATGGAATCTCGAATCCTGACAATATCACAATCGGAGATGTCTTTTACATCCCTCTTGATTCCGGTAAAGAATCTTAATTTTTGTGAAATTTAGGGTTTAAAGATTACATTTTGATGGTTTTGATTTTAATTTTGTGAAATTAGGGTTTATTAAAGATAACAATTTGATGTTTTGATTCAAATTTGTTTGTTGAAGTACCTGGAGAGCCTTATGAGACAAATGAAATGAATCCTCCTGCTCCTTCTCCTGCGCCTGCATCAACCAATAGCAATATCTCAGGTTTTTGATCTTTGTCTTAATCTGAATCTCAAAGTTTCTATTTTTAGTATGATGAAACTTAGATATTTATGTTTTTCCGGTTATGCAGAAGCTGATGAGGTGAATCACAGTGGAAAAGGAGGTCGTGTGCCTTATATATGGATTGTTGGTGGTCTTGGAGTTGTGCTTGCGCTTCTTGTCATGTGTATACTTGTATGTATATGTTTGAGATCATCTAGTTGTAGCGGTTCCAGTGATGAAGATGGTGGTGGTGGACACAACTTCCAAATTCTTAGAAAGTCTGGTTTCTTTTGCGGTTCTGGTCGGTATAACTGCTGCAGATCAGGGGATATCAGACAAACCAACGGTGAAACTCAGAGCCATCACCAAGTTGTTTCTATTCCTAAAGGTCTGATTTTTTTGGTCGCATCATTCATCTGTGGCTTTCTTCTTGAAAGAGTCTTCTTTTTGGTTGTTTTAATGTTTTTTTTGTTTGTTTCATGGATATATATATAGCTCTTGGCGATGGAATGTTTGAGATAGAGAAGCCTGTGGTGTTTACTTATGATGAAATCCGTGCGGCTACGGATGAGTTCTCTGATTCTAATCTTCTTGGTCATGGAAATTATGGTTCAGTGTACTTTGGTCTACTTAGAGAACAGGTTTGTGTCTTTAGTCACATCTTCATCTTCATTGTGTAATATAATGATGAAACTTGTTACAGGAAGTTGCTGTGAAAAGGATGACTGCTACAAAGACTAAAGAGTTTGCAGCTGAGATGAAAGTTCTTTGCAAAGTTCATCATTCAAATCTGGTAATCCTCCGTTGTGTGTAATGTAATCTTCTTTTATGCGAATGAATCGTTCGGAGATTATATATGACTTCTTGGCTTTGCTCTTTTTTGTGCTCGTCAAAGGTAGAGTTGATTGGTTATGCTGCAACCGTTGACGAGCTTTTCGTAGTGTATGAATATGTGCAAAAAGGAATGCTGAAAAACCATTTACATGAGCCTCAGAGCAAAGGTAAAGAGGGCTAATACCAACAAGACATAACAAGAAGAAGATGATAATGATATGTTTGTTGATGTTTCTTGAAGGCAATACACCACTGTCTTGGATAATGAGGAATCAGATTGCACTTGACGCAGCGAGAGGCTTGGAATATATACATGAACATACTAAAACTCATTATGTTCACAGAGATATCAAGACTAGCAATATCTTGCTCGATGAGGCATTCAGGGCTAAGGTCTGAGTCTCAACTTATGGAGAAAACACATTAGTACATGTTTTGATTTGTATACAGGACAAAATTGAGTTGATATTTATCTTTGCACATGTATAGATATCGGATTTTGGACTTGCGAAACTTGTTGAGAAAACTGGAGATGGAGAAATCTCTGTTACTAAAGTTGTTGGTACATATGGTTATCTTGCACCAGAGTAAGTATTTCAGAAACCTGAAGCTACTTATGGACACTTTAGTGAGTTCGTATCTGTGACATTTCTGTGTTTTCTTCTGAAGATATCTAAGTGACGGTCTTGCTACTCCGAAAAGCGATGTTTATGCATTTGGTGTTGTTCTTTTTGAGATTATCTCTGGAAGAGAAGCTGTTATAAGAACGGAGGCAATGGGAACAAAGAATCCAGAGAGACGTCCATTGGCATCTATTGTAAGTTTCCTTGGAGTTTTATAAACATTGAACCTTTACACTTTGATGAAAAATTCATTCAAAACCCTTTCTTTTACTGTTGCAGGTGTTAAAAGCTCTTAAGAACTCACCGGACTCTATGAACATGTCGAGTTTGAAGGAGTTTATTGATCCCAACATGATGGATTTATACCCACACGATTGTTTGTTCAAGGTAAACTAAAAAAACTGAATGCGTAGTAGTTGGAGAAATGTAGTAAAGATATGAAGATTTTCATTTTGAATGATTTTTGTGGACAGATTGCCATGTTGGCGAAGCAATGCGTGGATGATGATCCGATTCTAAGACCAAACATGAGTCAAGTGGTTATATCTCTCTCGCAGATACTCTTGTCTTCCATTGAATGGGAAGCAACTCTTGCTGGAAACAGCCAAGTCTTTAGTGGTCTTGTCCAAGGAAGATAAACCAAACGAACCCTTATAATTTAGGCCCCCTTTCTTTGTTATTCGCCATTGCTAGAAGCTTAGTTTGTGTAGAGAAATGATCATTCTCAAACCTGCTATGTAGTTAGTTACAAAGACAAATCTTTATATTTTGCTCTTTGATTGTCTCTGTATGATTATTATTCTTTTGGAGAATCAATGAAGAGGTGTATGAGTTTATATATGCTTCATATGTTGCAGTCTTGCAAAGAAAATATCACTGTCGTCCATGTATTAAATAACTTGTTTTTTAGCTTTGTGTATTGTGTTTATACAATGTTACTGGATCAATCTTCTTTCATATTCACATCTCAACCTTAACAAATTAAACCTTCATTTCTTTCTCTAACTTACTTACAACATACCTTCGGATCCAAGTCATACATTTCAATATCCAACCTTCCTCTTCTTGTTGTTGTTGTGCACTTCCCTAGATGTCAAATTGATAAGCTCCTTAGGTATGACTGCTCCACAGCTTTTCAAAGCCGGAACCAAATCAGGAAACAGATTTCTACTGTCCTCATTCACAAACAAAATAGCATTGCCTTTGTCTCCCATCCTAGAGGCTCTCCCAATCACATGTATATACTCCTTCACCGTATTAGGCATGTCAAACACTATCACCTGCCTCACCACCAAGAGGTCAACCCCTCGGCCTAAAACTCCAGTCGATACAAGAACAGGCACCTCTCCACTCAAAAACGAACACATTACATCTCTCCTCTCCTTCATCGGCTTCTCTCCATGGATCGATAGCGCCTTTATCCCCGTGACAACTGTTATAGCATTCGCCAAAAGATCTGCTCCAACTCTCGAACTCACGTAAACAACAGCTGGAGGCTTGAAATGGTTTTGACTTCTCAGTACCTCAAAGAGCTTCTGTTTCTTTCGCTTTGCATCAACCCATATAACGATCTGATTCACAGCCTTGTTAGGTCTGTTTGGTTCACCAATGGATATCAAAGCCATCTCCTTCGCTAGAATCCCTCCAACTTTCTCAACCTCTTTTGACACTGTCGCAGAGAACAGCAACACCTGTGGCTGCGGCAAGGCCTGAAAGATCTGCATCACCTGATCCCTGAAACCTCTCTGAAGCATGCAGTCAACTTCATCCACCACAAACATCAAAACGTCATCTAGCTTGACAGAGTGCTTCGTTAGAAGGTCCAGGAGCCGACCTGGAGTGCCAATGATCAATTCAATACCTTGCTGGATACGGTAGAGCTGTCCAGGCATGGGATCACCACCTACAACGAGCGCAGTCTTGAACGGCATTCCCATTCCGAGGATCTTCGCTTGTTCTTCAACTTGCACGCAGAGCTCTCTAGTTGGAGCCAAAACCATAGCCAATGGGGTCTTCTCCTCTGAAGGATGCTCAAAGCGGTAACTTGCACAACGAGTCACAATAGGAACAAGATACGAAGCTGTCTTCCCTGAGCCAGTCTCCGCTGAAGCAAGCATGCTTTTCCCGGTTAAAGCCACCGGAATCGCTTGCATTTGGATAGGAGTAGGGAAGTCATATCCAGCAGTTTCTAGGTTGAGGAGAAGCTTCGGAGGAAGTCCACAAGAAGTGAAAGTTAAAGCAGGAGGAGGAATTGATGCAGCACAATGGACATGGATCTCAAGCTTGCTTCTAAGCGATTGAGCATCATCGTCGGTGGAGGAAAAAGAAGATCCTCCTCCTGGCTCTCTAACGTAGAAGCACTCATCTTTAGCAGGAATCGCCGCCACTCTAGTAGCGTTTGTCAATAGTGTTTGCTTACACTGGAGGCTGCAGATGTCATCGTTGGTCTCGTCGCAAATGTACTCACCGTAACGACTGCAGATGATACATTTAGGCTCTCCGGGAAGAGAGGCTCTTTGATCTGTAGAGTTTCGTTTGATACCTTCTTCGTTCATACTCTTGAGATTAAGAGTAATCAGAGATTAGAGAAGATAGATTCTGTAAAACATAAGCGCCAAAGTTCAATCAGCAATATCCATTGGTGTTGAATCCTGAAAAAGGGTTTGATCAGAGATTGATAGGAGTTTGAGAGTACCTGAGAGATTACAGAGGGTGATGGAGGAAGAGGAGTCGCAATTTTTGAGTCGGAGATCGGAAAATCTTCTATGAAAGGTGAAACCTTGAAATCGAATTTCGCAGAAGAATTTGAGTTCTCACTGTCGTGATCAAAAGACGAGGTTGAGAACAGAAAAAAACCTGGGTTTCGGTGAAGGAGGAGGAGGCGCGATTCACCGGATTATATCGCCGGAGGAGTTGTGTTACGGAGGTCAAAGGTGGAGTTTGTAGATTATTGTCTTTGGTCAACTTTTACAGTAAGAGTCTCTTACTTATGGGCCTCTTTTGGGCCATCGTACAAACATGAAGAGAAGCAAAGTTTTGGAAAAGATTCAAGGTTTCGTTCAGGCCCAATACAAAACGGCTTATAAACTTAGACGCTATATAAGCAGGAGAGAGTTTCACATCTAGTAAGCTAGAAAATAGCAATATCGTTAGGAATCAAAGAAAAAAAAAGATATTGCTAATTTCACATCTAGTGCTAATTTTCACATGATTAGGAATCCCCAAAAAAAGGGGGAAAAAAGGAAAAGAAGCATAAAACTCAAATCATAATAATGGGAAGTTTGATACCTAACTTTAAATAAACGATTCTATTAACTTGTAGTTTGATATTTCTTCTGGTAGTAACAAACGAAAACGTAGCGTGAGGATGGAGACTGAAGCCGTAGTTTTTATTGTGTTCATCATCGTCTGGATGATGATGATGATCATCGTCATCTTTAGCAACTGTTGTAGAACTAGAACTAGTCCCACGGAATTACCTCCAGAGACGATCCACCACCAAACACCACAGCCTCAACAAGACATTGAAACGGGAACGAGGGAAGTCTTAATCTTCAAAGATATCAAAGACGACGAAGAAGAAGAAAGAGGGTCCGGTAAACGTATTTGTCCAATTTGTTTGGAAGAGTACAAGGATGATCATGAGATTAGGCGTTTGAAAAAGTGTGGGCATGTTTTTCATCGTTTTTGTGTAGATTCTTGGCTTGTACGCGACCGGAGCTGTCCAAGTTGTCGCAGTTCTGTTGATTTGATTTGAATGAGTTGTGGTATTCAAATTAATAAGTTTTATTTATATACTAAGTGAATATCCGCATATCTTTAGGCTACTCTAATGGTGTTAGTTTGAACATGAAAATATATATATTGTTATTTTCAATCTAATAACCAACTAATCTTGCGTTTCAAACCAATGACTCTATGATCAAAGTTGAAACCGAACTCAATAAAACAGTCAGACTTTGAAACTAGATCTTGTTAACTGAACTAAAATAGGGTTCCAAAATAAACGACGTCGTTAGGGTTCCCTTGGGATGCAAGCATGTGTTCTCAGGGCCGGCCCTGAGCACAGGCAGGGTAAGCGGCCGAGTAAGGCATCCAGTTATTAGAGGCATATTTTTGATAAAAAATTTCTTAAGGGGTGTATAAATATCATTTACAAATTTTTAACAAGGACATATTTTAGTTACTTAAATTTTTTCTTAAAGGTATTATTTACAAAGTTTTAACAAGAACATATTTTTGTTAATTTTTTTTAAAGGGGTTTATATATCATGTACACAGTTTTAAAACCTTTTTAGTGATATTAATATTTATAGGGCATTTGTTAACAAATATCTTTATTATGTGTATCATTATGTGAGTTTAATAAATGATTTTGCAGCTCAAAATCTAAGGAAAGCTTTATTTAAACCATAAGAAATCAGTTTTTTTTTTTTTTTGCAAACTATTTACTAACTGGGAATTGTTTATTTAGAACTTGTTTATTTTATGAAGTTTTCATGGTTTTTTTTATTTTTACTGTTTTTATGATTTTGGAAAGAAAAAAAATTGAAAGGCATACTTTTTAGATTCGAGTAGGGCATTTAAATTCGTTGGACCGGCACTGTGTGTTCTCACGTGCCGTATTATATAACACGCTTGGTAAGGAAGCGTAGAGATCTTAAGGTTCGGTACGATCCAGCGGGTCTACTGCACAATTCCAAAATTGTGCGGTAAGAAGGGTGTGGAGTGTGTGGACCGTGTGGTTAACGTTTTCGTCCAATTTGTTTGGAATAGTACGAGGATGATCATGAAATAAGGCGTTCAGAAAAATGTGGGCATGTTTTCCATCGTTTTTGTATTGATTATTAGCTTGCACAAGTTCGAAGCTGTCCAAATTGACGCCACTTTGTTCATTAGATACGTAACATATGTTTAGGTCTTTAACTCTCTAGTGTTTGTCAAGAGTGTTTTGAGCCAACGTAAAAAAACATGAAGAAAAGTAATGTTTGCACAAGATTCAAGGTTTCGTTAAGGCCCAAATACAAGACGACGTTTTATAAACTTAGCTATATATATAAGCAGATAAGTATCAGTGAAACATAATTAGGTCTACTTGTAACGGTATTACTTGAATTTATATGATATGGTAAAATCTCATCTCCAGTGGTTAATTATCTCATGATTAGGAATCCAGAAAAAAATAAGGGAAAGGGAAATACAACTCTAACCCTAATAGGAAGTTTGATATATAATCCTACTTTTATACACTTAACAGAAATCATAGTTTGATATTTCTTCTGGTAGTAACAAACGAAAACGTAGCGTGAGATGGATGATGTTTTGAAACCTTACCTTATAGTGATCACCATCGGCATAATCATCATCATCCTTATCATATGGTGTGATAGTCCTATTCCCACGGAATTACCTCCAGAGACTATCAACCAAACACCACAGCCTCAAGAAGACATTGAAACCGGACAGAGGAAAGTCTCTATCTTCAAAGATATCAAAGGAGAAGAAGAAGAAGGGTGCGGTAAACGTTGTTGTCCAATTTGTTTGGAAGAGTACGAGGATGATCATGAGATTAGGCGTTTAAAAAAGTGTGGGCATGTTTTCCATCGTTTTTGTGTAGATTCTTGGCTAGAACGCGACCGGAGCTGTCCAAGTTGTCGTCGTTCTGTTGATTTGATTTGAATGAGTATTTGGTCTTTTAATTAATATAGGTTTTATTTATCTACTAAGTGAATATCCGCATATCTTTAGGCTACTCTATGATGAGTTAAATACCAATGTGGACATGTTTTTCATCGTTTTTGTATTGATTCTTGGCTTACACGAGTTCGAAGCTGTCCAAGTTGCCGCCGTTTGGTTCAGTAGATATGTTTAGGTTTTAACCAGTGAGTATAGTTACTCGGTACCAGCGATTAGTTTTTGTTACTCATTGAAAACTAGACTATCAATATTATACATTAAAGTAGAGTTTTAGTCAATATCTGAAAAATCGAACTCAAGTTGACTTTGAAACTAGTTTTATTTCATGTTATTAGGATATGGAAACAAAGAAACATAGACTACAAAAATACTCTTTATTATAATCAATACTTGTTATCACTCGGCTGCTTCTCCTTACCTGTGTTAGATGCGGAAGAAAAAACTATGACTGCCTGTGTTCTCTCAACGATAAAGGAAATAATCTTCCGTTTCAAACCAATATGTTTGTTGTCAAATTTTGTTGTTGGCATGTGGATATCCTCAAATAGTAGTTGGCAACTGAAGTCTGGAATTAATTAAAAGTTTTGGTCAAAGGTTGAAATCAAACTCAAGAAAACAGTTGACTTTGAAACTAGATTTTTTTTATTAGGACATTAAACCAGAAACCAAAAGGATCCCTCATTAGGGTTTCAGAGATACGTCGTTAACGTTCCCTTGCGATGCAAGGACGTGTAGGGGTTCTTAATCTCTATCTTGGTCTGCAGAATTATGGAAATTGTACATCTTTCGAGAGCAAAACAGTATGCACGAAAAAAAAAGAAAAAAAAAAAAACAGTATGCACGAAGGATACTTGTTAAATATAGGGGGTATTTATATGGCCCCCTATTTATATTAAAATGTTTATTTGAACTTATCTCTAACTTTATAATAAAAATTTCAAATATTTATTATTTTCAATTAATTATTAATACTTTTTAATATAATTCAAAGCTGATAAATTAATAACTCTATATAGATTAATAAAATAACAAAGTCCCAACATTATTAATTCATAGAGTTTATAATAAGATATGGTAAAATTTCACCTCCATTATTTCCCCATGATTAGGAATCCAAAAAAAAAAAAAAAGAACACTCTAATTCCTAATAGGAAGATTGATATCCAATTCTAAATATATACTGCACTATAAACTAAAAGAAATCATAGTTTGATATTTCTTCTGGTAGTAACAAACGAAAACGTAGCGTGAGGATGGAGAGTGGTGACGAAGCTTTCCTTGCGTTCATCATCATCTGGATGATTGTCAGCAGCTTGATCATCTGTTACCGTGGTGATCGTTCCACTACATCACCTCCCGAGACAATAATCTATGAAACTCCACAGCCTCAACAAGACATTGAAACCGGACAGATAAAAGTATTAACATTCAAAGATATCAAAGAAGAAGAAGAAGAAGGAGGGTGCGGTAAACGTATTTGTCCAATTTGTTTGGAAGAGTATAAGGATGATCACGAGATTAAGCGTTTAAAAAAGTGTGGGCATATTTTTCATCCTTTTTGTGTAGATTCTTGGCTTGAACAGAACCGGAGCTGTCCAAATTGTCGCCGTTCTGTTGATTAGATATCTTTAGGTCTTTAACTTGTGAAAGTTATTGATTTATATTTACTTTTTACCAGAGTTTAGTTTTTGTTACTCATTGAAAAGTAGATTATCAATATTTACACTTACAAAAAGTTTTAGTCAAAGTTTGAAAAATTCAACTCAAATTGACTTTTGAAACTAGTTTTATTTCATTTTATTAGGACATGGAAACAAAGAAACATAGACTAAAAAAGGAGTCTTTATTATATTGGTCTTCTTCAATTTATTCTACAGAGTCAAGCTTTTCATTGTTGTATTTTCATGGGGATTGAGAGTGGTGATGAGTTTGATTGACGATAGGAGATGCACAACATCTGCAGCAACGTCCTAGTGGCGCTGGCTCGCAACACACACAAGCCGGGCAAATTGGTCGTGTCGGGCTTATAGGACCTATAAATACATACCAAGATATTTACAAATGATTCTTCGTCAAACTAATCCACTAATTATGATTGAGGATACAGATAGATGACTTTAGTACCTCTCGGGATCGAAGGGATGCGAGCAGCTTGTGATAAAGGAAGAAGAATTAGCAGAGAGAAGATGATGAGCTTCACAAAGATTGACTTTCTACTAATAAACGCCATTGATGCTTTGCTTTGTTAATTGTTATGGTTCGTGTTATTAGAGGACTAAAGGGTATACAATCACATTTATATGCGCTTTTATAAACGACTTTTCCACAAGTCAAATTTAGGATTCAAAGTCAAAGTCTCTCTTTTTGTGTTGAATGAGAGAAGTCACAATTTTTTTTTTTTTTTGGTTTTAGTCACAGTTCCCTAAGCTACTTAATTTTGTTTTTTTCCTCAAAACACACCAATTTTATTAAAAACTAGAGTTACAGAGTTTCTCTTTTTTCAAGCACTGGACTTTTGCTTGTTTATTTACACGTAGAAGAGATTATTATACTTATATATATATATATATATATATACTAGATTAATACCCGCGTATACGCGGATTTATTTTAAGATTTTGTAATAAAATCATGGAAAAGTATTAAACCAAATTTGATCATTTTAAAGTAAACAAAATAATATTAAAAACCCGATAAAAATATTTAAATAAAATAAGATCGGTAACCATTTTACGTTTTTATTGTAATTGATATTTTTTTTGAATTCATGATATGAAAAATGAATTAATTTGTTTTATTTTTATTTTTATCCAATATAGAAAGACTTATATATGTCTAAATATGATCAACTGATTAATTAATTCAACAAAATTTTATTATTCCTTTCAAGAGATTTCAATTGATGAAATCTTTATTTAATAATTTTTTACCTAACAATATTGAAAATTAAACTATTTAAAATTAGAATATCGGTTCATTATATTTTCTTAATATTAGTTGCTTGATGATGTCAAAAAAAAGGTTAGTTGCTTGATAATTAATTTGTTAGTTTTCTATTTATATTGTTTCTTTCTCAATTTTTTTTTGACTCAGACCATTAAAATTTTTCATTTTCATTATTACTTAGTTTTTTTAAATTATTTTTCTAGCTTATTATATATGTCTTTTTTTTCCTGTTCATAATGGGAATATAAACACATATCGCAATTGCTATCATATAGGGGTTCATGCGTATTGTTCATGTTGTTTGCTTTGATGAGTTTGTGAATGAGAAAAAAGACTACTTTAACTCTCTTTTTATAGGGGTTCATGTAACTTACTCCATGCAATTATAGAAAATTTAGTTTTCTTAACATATTTCATGTACTAATAGGATTTTATTTATTTCATTAATTTGAATCTTATATGTGTTTGGATAATATAAATTTGATGAATGGGAAACCTTTTCTATTAGGATATGAAAAATATAATTTTTTTCTTTTAACTATAAAAGATTAAAATTTCATTTTTTTCCCTTTATCTATTTTTTTTAATAATTATTTTTTTTTCTTTTTTTTTCTAAGACACATGTCACGATCTTAACGGAAACAACATTAAAAGTGACAAATGTCGCAATCCTAAATTTTATAAAAATCTTTTGTGTCGCAACTACGTCGCGCACATGATGAATGAGAAAACTTTTTTCTGTTAGGATATGACAAATATTAAAAAAAAATTAAAATAAAATAGATTAAATTATGTTTTTTTTTTAAATTAAATTTCGTTTTTTTTAATTATCCTATTTCTAGTATTTAAAAAAAAAAAAAATTCTTTTTTCCCCTAATACACGTGTCACGATTTTAACGGAAATAATCTTAAAAGTGACACATGTCACGATTATATATTTTATAAAAATCCTATGTGTCGCAACCACGTCGCGCGCATCCAGCTTTATATAATAAGATAGATTACAAGCTATAGATTACATCAAAGTCGAAATTTGATTAGGTGCATTGACATGGACAGCAAGCACCAGGTGGAGCTGGTGCACAACACACACATGCAGGACACAGGAGCTCCGGCATCATACGCATTTCACCTGTAAGGGGGGAAAAAAGATTCACATAAGGAATAGCACAAATTTCGATTGTTAAATTAAAGATGATTAGCTTACCACCGAGTAGCTCTCGAGCTGCTTGACATGGAAGGATTGGAGAGAGAACCAAAGCAAGTACAAGAACGGAAAGGAAGATGATTGAGCTTGATCGTTCGTTTGCCATTGCAGCTTTTCTGATATAAAAATGCTTAGAAACTTAGAAATATTTCTGATTGCAGTTTGAAACAATGGTTAGGATCATGATGTTTATATAAGCCAAGAAAAAAAAAACTTGCAACAGAATTTGATCGAGAGGACTAGCAAAAAAATAGGGAATGAAGGCTATGCAAAACCTATGATTTTTTTTTTTTTTTTTTTTTTTTTTTTTTTTTTAAACTCAGTCACAAAGTTGTTAAAATTTTGTGGCTGTGGAAATGAGATTATTATCTAAAAATATGTTAAAAGACTATGAAATTTTGTGGCTGTTGGAAAAGACTTTAAATTGAAACAGTATTAATTTTATTTAAGAAAAGCTTGACATATTTTTAAATATGTTAGAAGAATACTGTCTCAGTCTACCATAGTGAGGAAATTATGTAGCTAAAAAAAATTAAAAGCAAAGATGATATAGTGGTCAACATCCTATGCAGTATGCATCACCCTAATTCTTTTTGAGTCTAATTTATGTTTTTAGTCACTCTTAACTCTTAAGTTATTCAAAAACAACTCCAACATAGTGAGAATAAAAAAAGTCTAAGTTATCAGGATTTGGGATTTATTTCCTTTATTAAATTAGGAAATATTTCCTAACAAAAATAAATATTAGGATTGTTTCCTAATATTGTTTGCCTTGTTTGATTTTGAATGCTTATTATGGAATACAGGTTGTGATTATTTTGACACAGCAGTATACTCTGTAGCTATCTCCCTTTCTGTCTTTTATTTCTCCTTAATTCTTTTTGTTTATTTATTTCTCAAAATACTATTTTGAACCCTTAAAATCCCTTACCATATCCCCTGATTTATCTTAATGTTGAAGATTTACAAAAAGCAAAATGAAGTCGCTCATGATCATCGCTTTTGCCATTCTTCAATCAGTTCAAGCTCAAGATCAATCAGGTTTTTTACTCTCTTTATATACAGTTTGATGCTTTTAAGAAACCCTTTATTAAAGCTTAATCTCTTTGATTATGAACAGGATTCATTAGCTTGGATTGTGGGTTACCCCCTACGACTTCATCCTATACGGAGAGGAAAACGAATATAACATACATCTCAGACGCGGACTATATCGACAGTGGATTAGTCGGCAAGATCAATGATTCATACAGAACATTGTTTCAGCAACAGACTTGGACCTCAAGAAGCTTCCCTGAAGGTCAAAGAAACTGTTACAACATCAATCTCAAAGCGAACGGCAAATATCTGATCAGAGGATCATTTTTGTATGGGAATTACGACGGTCTGAATCAAATCCCCAAGTTTGATCTTCACGTTGGTCCTAACAAATGGACTTCTGTTGTGTTGGATGGAGTAGCAAATGCTTCGATCTACGAGATGATCCATGTCTTGGCACAAGACCTTCTTCAAGTTTGTCTTGTCAAAACTGGACAAACGACACCGTTTATATCGTCTTTGGAACTTCGTCCGTTGAAAAATAATACTTACGTCACTCAAAGTGGATCGTTGTTGTCGTTCGCAAGAAATTACTTTCCACAGTCTCCAGTAATCCTCAGGTAAATAAAATGAGCCTCCAATTTTTTTTAAATGAAACTTATGCGTTTACACGAGAAAAAGAATGTTCAAATAAAAAATTTCGTAATTTCTTTTGTAATATGCAAAAGCAAACGGGAAGAGAATCTTCCGTTTGTCTTTGACATTTACATTTACAATGCGTTCCGTTTTTGCTTAATTAAAGTTGTGGTTGATTTAATAAACAAAAGTGAAATGATATAACATTTTCACGTTTTGAGAACGTAGTTATGTTGTATATATAATCTTTTCACTAGCTAGTCAACATTTATAAAATTTCACCAATTTATATATTTTATATAAAGCGATTCCGATATAAATACTTATGTCTGAGTTTAAGACTTTAATTATAGATGATAAAATGTTAATCTTTGATTTTGTTATTTCGTTATTCTGCTATTCATCTTATATATCATTCAAACACATGCGCTAAAACATAAACGTAAACACAGACGAGCCATCTAGGTCTGAGCTTAGAATTGTAACTTGTATATGTTTTTTTTTGTTATTTTGTGTTGAATATAACAAAATTAAACCTCTTTGACTCTATCTCTGTCTCTAGGTATGATGAAGACTTCCATGACCGGATTTGGGTTCCATTCAGAGAGAACGAAACAGTGTCGATAAGCACTGATCTTACAGTCGATACAAGCGGTGATCTCTACGATGTGCCTCAAAATGTGGCAAAATCCGCAATGATTCCCAGAGATGCTACTCATCCTCTCAGTATATGGTGGGATCTCCAAGACATCAATGCACTGTCATATGTATACATGCACTTCGCCGAAATCCAGAATCTTGGATCTGATGAGATCAGAGAATTCAACATTACTTACAATGGTGGTAAGGTTTGGGAGAGTTTCGTTAGACCTCACAAGCTCAACATCACAACAAGCTTTAGTCAAGAAGCTTTGACTTCTTCAGATGGGTTCTTCAACTTCACCTTTACAATGACCGAAAACTCTACTCTTCCTCCACTTATCAATGCCATTGAGGTCTATACAGTCGTAGAGAATTTACTGTTCCCAACATACCAAGACGAAGGTACACAAAATATTTTGAATCCTCTTTTTTAATACTTAGGAGGGTTTATTAGTTTATTATGTAAAACATTTTAAAACCCGTTACTGAAAACGTTTTTTTTTGCTTTTCTTGTTGAGTATCAGTTTCTGCTATGATAAACATCAAGAAAACATATGGATTGAGTACAAAGATAAGTTGGCAAGGAGATCCATGTTCCCCTAAGATTTATCGATGGGAAGGTGTGGATTGCCTTTATTTGGACTCCGATCAACCTCTGATCATATCCTTGTATGTTCTTTTAATCATTGGTCATCTCATAAGCCTTTTTCTTTTTTAGTTTTGGGATTTTGCAAAAAATATTCACTCTTTTTTAAAACATTAGGAACTTGGCAGCAAGTGGATTGAACGGTACCATAACACCTGATATAGCTAATCTAATACAACTGAGAGAACTGTAAGTATCTGAGACTATTACAACGCAATTAAACTTAACTGTTTGATATACAGTACAAATAACTCTTCAAAAACGTTTCTGTTCTCTTCTGATCTCTACAATGGACAGAGATTTATCAAATAATAATTTATCAGGAGACATTCCAGATATTCTCGCTGATATGAAGATGTTGACACTCATGTGAGTTTCTATTATTATACTCTTGCTTGCTCTGTTCCTTTGTTTTGTTTTTGAAAGATTCATTTGTTCTGTTCATTTGCAGAAACTTAAGCGGAAACCCAAATCTCAATCTCACTATTCCAGATTCTATTCAGCGAAGGATAGATAACAAATCATTAACACTAGTGTAAGATGTTTTCACAACTTTTTTTTCTTCTTATAAACCATTAAAACTATGTTTAGTTTCCCTCCTTAATGTTATACTACTAATCTCTTATATTTCTTGTGTTCATTTCCCATCATTTGTAATGATTGTAGTTTAGATCAAAAACAGGGAAGAAAGTTTCCTTTGGTTCCTGTCGCAAATTCAGTGGCTGCTGTGATCGCTTTACTAGCTATCTTCACCATATGTTTCATAATTGCAAAGAAAAACCATAGATGTAGTGAAGGTATAATCATCGGACCAAGTCTTAACACTATTATAAAATGAAACTGATCTTCACATTTGACTGATTTCGTTTTTTTCTTTACCATTATAATCAGCTCCAAGAAGGGTTAATAGTGAGAAAAGACCATCAAATCAATCATTCGGAACAAAGGAGAGGGTATTCACGTATTCCGAGATACTAAAGATGACAAATAACTTTGAGAGAGTTCTTGGTAAAGGAGCCTATGGAAGAGTCTACTATGGAAACTTAAATGATACTCAAGTAGCTGTGAAAATGCTCTTTCACACATCAGCTCATCAAGATTATAAACATTTCAAAGCTGAGGTAAACTTTTTAAAATGAGAGAGAAAGCCATTATTAGTCTTTTACTCTTTTTTTATTAGGTTTTCTAATCATTAATTCTTGTTTTTCTTAGGTTGAACTTCTTTTAAGAGTTCATCATAGAAATTTGGTGGCACTTGTGGGGTACTGTGACGATGGAGATAACTTGGCTTTGATCTATGAATACATGGCAAATGGAGACTTGAAGAAGAATATGTCAGGTAAAAACACTTTCACAATGCGATTTTGATAATAATGGAAATTTCATTACTGAAAAAAATCAAAATTCGGTATAGGAGAACGCAGTGGACATGTTCTAACTTGGGGAAACAGAATGCTTATAGCTATGGAGGCAGCACAAGGTGATGAAACCACACAAAAAGTCTTTGCTTACATTCTGTTTCTCAGGTCTAAAATGCATAACTAACATAAAACAATAACCCCATTTTTTTTGTAACAGGACTAGAGTATCTACACAATGGAAGTATACCTCCTATGGTACATAGAGATGTGAAAACTACAAACATATTATTGAATGAGCATTTTCAAGCGAAGCTAGCTGATTTTGGGCTCTCTAGATCTTCCCCGGTCGATGGTGAACCTTATGTATCAACAATCGTTGCAGGAACACCTGGTTACTTAGACCCTGAGTAAGTTAAATCAACCAGCTTATCTTAATATTCAGTACATATATAACATGAAATGTAATATCTCTAATACTCTTTTCAGGTACTATAGAACAAACTTGCTAAGCGAGAAGAGTGATGTGTACAGCTTTGGAGTAGTTCTATTAGAGATCATCACAAACCAGCCTGTGATCGATACAACCCGGGAGAGAGCTCACATTACAGAATGGGTTGGGTTAATGCTCATGGAAGGAGATATTAGGAATATTATTGACCCTAAACTGATGGGAGAGTTTGATATAAACGGTGTGTGGAAGGCTATGGAGTTGGCTATGGCTTGTGTAAACCCTATCTCGGACCGTAGACCGACGATGCCGTACGTTGTGATGGAGCTAAAAGAGTGTTTGGACTCTGAAATTGCAAGGAAAGATGGGAGTCAAGAGATGTATGCTAAAGACTCTTATGTTGAGGTTAGCTTCTCTCCTGGTTCTAGATTTTCACCAGGACCGAGGTGAATCGAAAGGATTTAGCGTGTTATGATTTATAATGAACACATTGCTTTAAATAATACGTTGGAGTTGTATCTCTGGAACTGAAAATTTTCTCCGTACATGGAGCAAGCGGTTTGTTTCTGCAAAAGTATTACCCTTTTAGTATGTGTTACTTGCTTGGGTCACAAGAAATCAAAATGAAACTCGATTCTTAGTGAAAAACCATATAAATAGTGTATCTTTCCTAATGGAATCAATGAAAAAGAAGATACGCAACATTGTTTTTCTTAAATTGGATAAATTTTTGAAATGGATGAAGCAATATCACATAGACTAAGATGCTCTGTTTTGATCCTCTGTTTCCATGCTCTAATATAGTTACTCTGTTTCATGTCTTGATACTCTGTTTTGATTTCCTTGTTATTAACGTTTTGGTATCTGATAGATTTTCCGATTAATTTTTTCTCAATTACGTTAACAAAAACTATAATTGTTGTAGAAAAACAAAATTACGCATTTGCAACTTACATGGGCCATGTTCTTTCTCGGCCCAATTACTGGTTTCAAGCCCAGATATAACGAGTGGGGTTTCTCCAATTGAAACGAGGCAGTTAAAAACGGAGGCAAATAATAACCGTCACTAGCCACTCGCTTGTATCATAAGTAATGGACAAAACCCACTTTCTCTTTCTCTCTCTCTCACAAACTGAGTTTAATCATGTTTGGTTTCTTGTTCCGTCGATGGAGAAAAGCTTCCAAATGTAAAGAGCTGTTGCGGCAGCTTCAGTCTCGTCTCAAGCTACTCAAGAACAAAAAATACGCAATTTCAAGACATTTACGTGACGACATTGCTCTCTTCATCCGAATCAATGACCTCACACGAGCTCTCCTTCGCGCCGAACAGCTCTTCCTCGTCGAAAACTCCATCTCAATCTACGATTTGTTGCTTCACTTCTCTGATTTTATCCTTCTCCATTTCTCCTCCATCAGAAAACACAGGTTACATATCTTCTTTTTTATTATTTATAATTCACTGTTTTATTTGTGTTATAAATAATTAAACACTAATTCGAGAAACTGAAATCTTGCAGAGAATTGGTTAAAGACGACATTAACGAAGCAGTTTCGAGTCTTGTCTTTGCATCTGCGAGGTGTGGAGAATTACATGAGCTACGTAAGATCAGAGAGCTATTTGGTCAACGTTACGGTCAAACTTACATTACAACAACTCTTCAGCTTCACCATGGAAACCTTGTTAACTTCCAGGTTTCAAAACATTTAATTTCACACATTTTATTTTTCATCATTTTATTTTACTTTTTCGTAATATAATTTATGCGGAATACACAGATTAAAGAGAAATTGTCTGTCACTACGGTATCTGAGGATTTGAAGTCGAAATTGTTGGATGAAATAGCAAAAGAGTCAGGTCTCCGTTTAGAAATCCTAAGGCTCGAATATACACCTGAAATTGAAAAACAGGTGAATATTTTAACATGTTTTTGTTTGTTAGATTTTTTTTTTGTTTTCTTGGATTTGTAATTGTTGGAATTGTGTGGTGGATAGGTAAATGAAGAGGAAGAGAAGAAAGTAATAGATTCTGCGTTGAATAGTTGCACTGATGATCAGTCACCAGAAGTGTATAAATTTAGTCTCACTGATGTCGAAGAAGAGAAGAGCAAGGAGGAGAGATCAATGGAGCAGGATGATTACATAGAGGAGACTCAAGTAGGGAAAGATCAGAGAGTATTCAGATTCAGAGAAAGTAGTGAAGGAGATAGATCATCATCATTATCATCATCAGGAGAGTTTAAGGATATGGAATGTTTGAGGTATTATAAGAAGCAGAAAAGGATCCGGAGAAGGAGAAGATCATCACGAAATTGTTACCATATAGTCTACAATGTGTTTAGAGTGAAGAATGAAGAAGAAGAAGAAGAATTAAGAAGAAGATTGTTACCCAAGCATGTTCACCCTAAGCTTCCTGACTACGACCAAATTGCTGCTCAGTTTAAAGCCCTTAGGACACAACAACGTATGCCTTTTTAACCATTACTTCATACTCATTTTGTTTGAAAGATTGATTTGTTTATTTATTTTTTTGGATTTTCACATATTGAAAAACATTTAGCAATTCATTTTTTTAAGTAATTTTTGTTTCGGAACTCATTTATTTGAGCGCTTGTTTTACTGGATTTTCTCAATGATTATCGGAGCACCACTTTCCACTTCCCCACTAATTTGCTTGACAATAGTTATAATTGTGCTCCAAGACAAGTAGACAACATAAACTTGCATATGCTAAATATAGCTGTTTATTTTTGGAAAAGGAATAGGTTTGAAATATAATCTCTAATGTTCACACTTTTTTGTGTGCATATTATAGATGATAAAAACTATTAAAACAGTATATATTTTTTAATGTAACGATAAGTGGTTATGAATCACACCTAAATTTTTGGTACAGCTGAAGATTTCACGTGAAGCATTTTTTTATTTCGTTAAAGATCCACGTGAAACATTTATGTAGAGTTTAGTGACAAGAAAACATTCGTATAGAGTATGTGGCTTTGGTTAGACGTAAGATGCACGCCATGGACATCGGGGACCATTAAAACAAAATAAAAGAGAAGGGTGAGGTAAAGGAAAAAAAGGTTTTTGAAGAACGAATTACACCACCACCGCTCGGAGAGTCTTATAGAAAGTGAATGACCTAAACGTGGCAGATTATTATTAGTTTTCAGTTTAGATTGATCGGTGTTGAAAAAAATATCACGTGAGGTGAGATATTGGGGATCGCAGTTTCTCTGTTTAGCTTTACGAAAACGCAGAATCTGACCCTGCAGGGACCAATCATTCAAACACACGATGACGGTTGCGTAAAAAAACCACATTGCCATTTGCCACCCATGTGACTTATAACTAAACAGTATCCAACATTGTTCCGAAAATGGCTATAAATATGATTCCATTTGGCACCCCTATTCTTGCAACTCACTCTCCTCTTCATCATCCTCCAATCAGGTACGTACTCTCTCTCAGTTTCCTTTTCATTTATCAATGCACAATTTTTGTCGACATGCATTAATTCTCTAGGTTTTCGTTCTTGGTTTTGTTATTATGCATGGTTTTTCCATCATTCCATGCATAATTTTGTTTTATTTTTTGTTAATGGATAGCTATATGAAGCAAATTGTTGGCTCAAATTATTGAAATTATACGTAGTTATACTTATGAATAGAAAGAGAATAGTAGGGTGTTATCTATCTAATTTGATATTCAACAAAGAAAAAATTTAGTTGCAAATATAAGGAGAAGCATACTAAAACTAAAACTATGTGCTTATTATTGTACATGTTTCTCGTATGATGTGCTAAACTCCAATTTTTTTCCTTGTGATGATTCTCCTCTGTTTAAATATATACAATAATTAGAATCTTTCAGGTTTTCTTTGAGGTTAAGAGATTTAAGCAATGTTCGAAAAGGTTGGACCTGTTGGTGGTGACAAGGGGTCTCCATTCGACGATGGTGTTTCCACCGATGTGATGAAAGTAACTGTCGCGGCAGATGAATTCAGTATAACTTATATCGAGGTCTTATACGCAAATGAAAAAGAAGGAAGAGCCGAAATCGTTAGTCACGGGACGAAACGAGGGGAAATAAAAGAGGTCAAAATAAATAAAAATACACGTGAAATTTGTTTCTCTAGTATTTGATGAATCGCTATTAATTCGTGTTTCTAATGAAAAAAATGAAATCCAGTTTTTAGTGGCTTATCCGAAAGAAAATATCATATCCGTTGGTGGAAGCTACGATCATATTTTTACGTATGATACAACGCTTATCACGTCGCTATACTTCGAACTCAGCACTGGAAGAACATCTCCGAAATTCGGAAAAACGAGTGGAACAGAATTCTTGCTCAAAGGTGAAAGTGGAGGAAAGCTTGTTGGATTCTTTGGACGCAGTGGTCAGGCTATTGATGCCATTGGGGCCTACTTCGAGACCAAATCTGATGGACCACAAAAGTTGGAGTCACACGGAGGTGGTAATGAAGGAGCTTAAGAAGGAAAGTTACAAGATCGTTGGAAAAGCTTTGGTTCATCAACATCGGAGTCCATGTCGTGCCTCGTGCTATCTTACAGAATTATGCTTTAGTTTCCTTTTTTTTTCTTTGGTTTTGTAAAATAAGGTCCATGCTTTTGGATTTGTGTCACTTGGAGTCTTGAATAAGCTTTTCAGCGTTTACTATGTTTGCGTGTATAATAAGGTCCATGCATTTGGATTATGCGATGTTCTCTGCCTTGATGGTGTGTTTTGAAGGATTATTTCTCTTGTAGATTCGGATTTTTTTTATTTTTTATTTTTATTTTTACAAAATTTAAACTGGTTCTTTGAAAGTTGAAACATAACTAAATTCCTCTTGGTTGTAAGAATAAGAATATTTGGAATCATCAAATGATATTTTGTAAACTAAATTGATAGGACTATTAGATATTTGGAATCATCAAATGATATTTATATAAACTTTTTGATACATGATATTTTAGCCTGTTTCGTTAAGCAAAAATAAATGATAAGAGTAAAAACCATTAGTGACGACAAATCATAAGTCATGTTTGGGTCAAAAACCAGAAAAACAGATGTTTAAAAAACTTTACATATCCCCAAGGCGACAATTAGGCCCAAGCCTTGAAGTTCCCCAAGAAAGACAAAGGGGAAGAAATCAAGGACAAAAGGTATGTCGCAAATTCGTAATCGAAATCAATATGAAGGTTACAAGAGGATGCATGGATCGGATCTTCATTGTTGTAA